CTTGAAAGTGAAATTCTATATTTTGGAAATTTTGCATGAAATCTGTCAACCACGTTGTCATGGTCGAGGTTGCTTCACCTATCACGATGTATTCCAACCATCATGAGGCTATTTAAATGAGCATTTGTCAAAACAGAACGCAAATTATTTTTAATTAGTCTCATTGAATGATTATTATTATTATTATTATTATTATTATTATTATTATTATTATTATTATTATTATTATTATTATTATTATTATTATTATTATTATTATTGTGGTTGTTGTGATGAAAAGTTAACACAAACGATATGGTGGCTAAACGAATATTACATGTAAATATTTTTTTTTATTTGTTTGTTCCCCGACAAAATTTATCGTCTTCCCTGACGGGGGGGGGGCTATAGCCCCCAGCCCCCCTCTGGCGCCACCCCTGTCTCGTGGTGGTCCTCAGGACCCCCGACACAGTGGCCCGAAGGGGCTCTACCCACTAGTGTGTCTCTGTCATCGACTGTAGGACGTATATCATTATATACAATGGCGGATTTAAGAAGACCTGCCGTCCCGGGCCCCCTAGATTTGTCCAAAATTTTCATAAAATGTAGACACAAACAATGATATTCAAAAGTTTGTGAGGGCAATTTCCGGCCATCTCATGTGCCATAATCATAAATTTTCTTACCTCAGCCCCAACCATAGTGGGGCTGATGTCGTACAGACACTCCATCTGCAGTGGCGGTTCCAAAGGGGCGCTGAACCTCGATGTATTTTTAATTTTGTAAAAATTAGGGCACCTCCTGATTCTTTTTTATTTATTCAATATCCAGGTAAAAGCAATACAAAGCAAACATACAAACAAGATGTTCATTACTTGCCACTATCAATTGGTTCTCCTATACTAAACATCTTTACAGCATAAATTACAATTCGTCGGGAGAAAAAAAAAAGTATAATTGTATGTATATATTTTCTACATATTAGTAGACTATCTATATGTAAAATCGGTTAAATAAACCTCTGAAACCAATAAATTGTCATATTTCCCCCAACCCCCAAAAAT